GTCAGAGCACCTTACCGATCACTGCACCTGTACACAGCCCATCTGAAATTAGCCCGCCCAACTACCTCATCCCTATATTGTTATTTATTTTGCTCATTTGTACCCCAGTATCTCTATTTGCACATCATCTCTTGCACATCTATCATTCCAGTGTTAATACTAATTGTAATTATTTTGCACTATAGCCTATTTATTGCCTTACCTCCATAACTTGCTACATTTGCACACACTGTATATATATGTATTTCTGTTGTATTTTTGACTTTGTTTTGTTTTACCCCATATGTATCTCTGTGTTGTTGTTTTTATCGCACTGCTTTGCTTTATCTTGGCCAGGTCACAGTTGTAAATGAGAACTTGTTCTCAACTGGTTTACCTGGTTAAATAAAGGTGAAATAAATAAATAAATAAAAAAACATCTGTAGCCATGAAGTCCTTTGAAAGGCTGGTCATGGCTCACATCAACACCATTACTCCAATTTGCATACCGCCCCAACAGATCCACAGATGATGCAATCTCTATTGCGCTCCACACTGCCCTTTCACACCTGGACAAAAGGAACACCTATGTGAGAATGCTGTTCATTGACTACAGCTCAGCGTTCAACACCATAATGCCCACAAAGCTCATCACTAAGCTAAGGACCCTGGAACTAAACACCTCCCTCTGTAACTGGATCCTGGACTTCCTGACGGGCCGCACCAAGGTGGTAAGGGTAGGCAACAACACATCTGCCATGCTGATCCTCAACACTGGAGCCCCTCAGGGGTGCGTATTTAGTCCCCTCCTGTACTCCATGTTCACCCACAACTGTGTGGCCAAGCACGACTCCAACACCATCATTAGGTTTGCTGACGACACAACAGTGGTAGGCCTGATCACTGACAACGATGAGACAGCCTATAGGGAGGCGGTCAGAGACCTGGCAGTGTGGTGCCAGGACAACAACCTCTCCCTCAATGTGAGCAAGACAAAGGAGCTGATCGTGGACTACAGGAAAAGGAGGGCCGAACAGGCCCCCATTAACATCGAAGGGGCTGTAGTGGAGCGGGTCGAGAGTTTCAAGTTCCTTGGTGGCATTTGCTTTTGCAAACTACAAGTGCCTTTCTCCATCCCAACCAAAGCAGGCATACTAATAGTAATACTACTAGAACCAAAAGGCTGTCTTCAGCTCTCTAACAGCGCTGTTGTAGCGTACTGAACGTCTCAGATTCTATAGTGCTGACAAGAGGCAGGGATGCATTTCATTCTAAAAAAATGTTTCCTCCCTTCTGCCGTAGCTCACTCCCCTTCAAAGATCTGATAGGTATGCTGTGACTGAAAGCAATATGGCGGACACTAGGTGGGGCCACTGCTTACACCTAGCCTGCCTTCTCAGCTCTGCAAAGGGGAGTGAAACAGAACAGAGAGGAGGGGACAACTTTTTGGAATGAAAATGCAGCCCAGGGTTTTGTAGCAGAGCGATGGAAAATGGTGGTTAGGCTACGCAACAGTTGGGCTGGAAGAATAAGAGGCGTGCTCTCTGTGGTAATATAAACAGGGGCATGCTCAAACACACACACACACACACACACACACACACACACACACACACACACACACACACACACACACAACTATGTGCATGCCTCAGAGCCGTGACTCATATTACCCATTTTTAGAGCAGTTTGGAATCTCCACAGCTCCACTTTCCACATAGTTTGTAGAGAACAAACCAACCTCAGGTTTGTGGAAGGCAACATGGAGGGCTACAATATGTTGGAGGGTTATAACGTTGCGATATGCAACTTTTCAGGGAAGTTAGGAACCAATATACACAAGCAGTCAGGAAAGCAAAGGCCAACTTTTTCAAACAGAAATTTGCATCCTGTAGCACTAACTCCAAAAAGTTTTGGGACACTGTAAAGTCCATGGAGAATAAGAGCACTTCCTCCCAGCTGCCCACTGCACTGAGGCTAGGAAACACTATCACCACCGATAAATCTACAATAATCGAGAATTTCAACAAGCATTTTGCTACAGCTGGCCATGCTTTCCATCTGGCTACCACTAACCCGGCCACCAACTCTGCACCCTCTGCTGCAACTTGCCCATGCCCCCCCCGCTTCTCCTTCACACAAATTCAGACAGCTGATGTTTTGAAAGCGCTGCAAAATCTGGACCCCTACAAATCAGCTGGGCTAGACAATCTGGACCCTTTCTTTCTAAAACTAGCCGCCGAAATTGTCGCTACCCCTATTACTAGTCTGTTCAACCTCTCTTTCATAACGTCTGAGATCCCCAGAGATTGGAAAGCTGCCGCGGTCATCCCCCTCTTCAAAGGGGGTGACACTCTAGATCCAAATTGCTACAGACCTATATCCATCCTGCCCTGCCTTTCGAAAGTATTCGAAAGCCAAGTTAACAAACAGATCATCGACCATTTCGAATACCACCGTACCTTCTCCGCTATGCAATCCGGTTTCCGAGCTGGTCACGGGTGCACTTCAGCCACGCTCAAGGTCCTAAACGATATTATAACCGCGATTGATAATAGACAGTACTGTGCAGCCGTCTTCATCGACCTGGCCAAGGCTTTCGACTCTGTCAACCACCGCATTCTTATTGGCAGACTAAATAGCCTTGGTTTCTCAAATGACTGCCTCGCCTGGTTCACCAACTACTTCTCAGATAGAGTTCAGTGTGTCAAATCGGAGGGCCTGTTGTCTGGACCTATGGCAGTCTCTATGGGGGTGCCACAGGGTTCAATTCTTGGGCCGACACTTTTCTCCGTGTATATCAATGATGTCGCTCTTGCTGCTGGTGACTCTCAGATCCACCTCTACGCAGACGACACCATTTTGTATACATCTGGCCCTTCATTGGACACTGTGTTAACAAACCTCCAAACGAGCTTCAATGCCATACAACAATCCTTCAGTAGCCTCCAACTGCTCTTAAACACTAGTAAAACTAAATGCATGCTTTTCAATCGAACGCTGCTGGCACCCGCCCACCCGACTAGAATCACCACTCTCGACGGGTCTGACCTAGAGTATGTGGACAACTACAAATACCTAGGTGTCTGGTTAGACTGTAAACTCAACTTCCAGACTCACATAAAGAATCTCCAATCCAAAGTTAAATCTAGAATCGGCTTCCTATTTCGCAACAAAGCCTCCTTCACTCATGCTGCCAAACATGCCCTCGTAAAACTGACTATCCTACCGATCCTTGACTTCGGCGATGTCATTTACAAAATAGCCTCCAACACTCTACTCAGCAAATTGGATGTAGTCTATCACAGTGCCATCCGTTTTGTCTCCAAAGCCCCATACACTACCCACCACTGTGACCTGTACGCTCTTGTTGGCTGGTCCTCACTACATGTTCGTCGTCAAACCCACTGGCTCCAGGCCATCTATAAATCACTGCTAGGCAAATCCCCGCCTTATCTTAGCTCATTGGTCACCATAGCAGCACCCACCCGTAGTCTGCGCTCCAGCAGGTATATCTCACTGGTCATTCCCAAAGCCAACACCTCCTTTGGCCGCCATTCCTTCCAGTTCTCTGCTGCCAATGACTGGAACGAATTGCAAAAATCTCTGAAGCTGGAGACTCTTATCTCCCTCAATAACTTTAAGCATCAGTTGTCAGAGCACCTTACCGATCACTGCACCTGTACACAGCCCATCTGAAATTAGCCCACCCAACTACCTCATCCCTATATTGTTATTTATTTTGCTCTTTTGCACCCCAGTATCTCTATTTGCACATAATCTCTTGCACATCTAGCATTCCAGTGTTAATACTATTGTAATTATTCTGCACTATAGCCTATTTATTGCCTTACCTCCATAACTTGCTACATTTGCACACACTGTATATATATTTTCTGTTGTATTTCTGACTTTATGTTTTTTACCCCATATGTAACTCTGTGTTGTTTTTTATTGCACTACTTTGCTTTATCTTGGCCAGGTCGCAGTTGTAAATGAGAACCTGTTCTCAACTGGCTTACCTGGTTAAATAAAGGTGAAAAAAAATAAAAAAAATAAAAATAACATAGAGGGTTACCACAGCTGTGGCCTATTTAACAAGCAAATACATGCCAAATACAATTTAGGAATGAGCTTCTCTCTTTCACACACTCAAAACATGTGTGAACATAATCTTGACCTTTAAAACATGAATTAATGCAAATGATAGTATTGGCACATGACCACTTGAGCTCAAGTCTGGTGTAGCAGTTTTGGGTGGAGCTGGCCTCATTTTTAGGGCATGAATCACTGCTTGTGGGCTTATCATGTGTCTGCTCCGCTTGAGGGTGTGTTCTTCGCTTTTAGAGGAGGCTTTTCTTCTCTCTGTCTCACATCAGTCTCACATCAGGACCCAGCCAGTCAGTTTCAGACATCATAGATCTTCTCTTCTTCTGAACACTCATCAGCTACTCTGAGGTGAGTAGAGTGGGAGGGGGGGGGGGATAGAACTGCTCTATTATATATGGTTAGGAATGAGAAAATGAAAATGGAGAGAAGTTAGAAGAAGGGAATGAGAGAAAGAGAATGAGAGAGATGAGAATTGGATAGAGGAGTGGGACACGTTGAATGAATGGACTGAATACGGAGCATAACGATGTGTGTATTTGTTTGTTTGTGTGTGTGTGTGTGTGTGATGGGGGAGGGGTGAGTGAAGAACAGATGAATCAGCCATTGCATTATAAAGTACCAATAGCTATACGTTTGCAGCTGTTTGCCAAATCAATGTGTTTCAGTGTGATCTTTTTAATTTATTCAGGAAATAACAGCTATAAACAGACTGTAAAACAACAAGGTCTAGACCTTAAGACATTCCATTCCCTGGATCTTATGACATGAAACATGTTTTCATATTTAGTGTACCTGAGCCATCTCATCTTCCTCTCTCTTGTTGTGAATCATATGTTCCATTGGAATAACCAGACAAAGACAGGATGAATACTCATGTCACTCTCATCCTGTCCTCTCTTCACCAAGCCAGGATGAATACTCATGTCACTCTCATCCTGTCCTCTCTTCACAAACCAGGAAATATCTGCACTCTCATCCTGTCCTCTCTTCCCCAAACCCGGGATGATACCATGTCCTCTCACCCTGTCCTCCCACCAGCCAGGATGAATACCATGTCCTTTATCCTGTTCTCTTCCCCAAACCGGTGAATACTATGCACTCTCATCCTGTCTCTCTCACCAACCCAGGATGAATACTCTTCACCCCACCTGTTCTTCCCCAAAGCCAGGAGAAAACATGTCACTTTCCCTGTCCCTCTTCACCAGCGGAGAATAATCATGTCACTCTCATCCGTCCTCTCTTCCCCAAGCGGTGAAACTCATGTCACTTACCCGCCCTCTCTTCACCAGCCAGGATAATACTATGTCCCCCCTTCCTGTCTTTTTCACCAAGCCAGGATGAATACAAATGACTCTCATCCTTTCCCTCTCTTCACAAGCCAGAAAATCTCAGTCCTTATCCTGTCCTCTCTTCCCCAAAGCACCTCATCCTGTCCTCTCTTCACCAAGCCAGGATGAATACTCATGTCACTCTCATCCTGTCCTCTCTTCACCAGCCAGGATGAATACTCATGTCGCCCTCATCCTGTCCTCTCTTCACCAAGACAGGATGAATACTCATGTCACTCTCATCCTGTCCTCTCTTCACCAAGACAGGATGAATACTCATGTCACTCTCATCCTTTCCTCTCTTCACCAAGCCAGGATGAATACTCATGTCACTCTCATCCTGTCCTCTCTTCACCAAGACAGGATGAATACTCATGTCGCCCTCATCCTGTCCTCTCTTCACCAAGACAGGATGAATACTCATGTCACTCTCATCCTGTCCTCTCTTCACCAAGCCAGGATGAATACTCATGTCACTCTCATCCTGTCCTCTCTTCACCAAGCCAGGATGAATACTCATGTCACTCTCATCCTGTCCTCTCCTCACCAAGCCAGGATGAATACTCATGTCGCCCTCATAATAATAATATGCCATTTAGCAGACGCTTTTATCCAAAGCGACTTACAGTCATGCGTGCATACATTTTTGTGTATGGGTGGTCCCGGGGATCAAACCCACTACCTTGGCGTTACAAGCGCCGTGCTCTACCAGCTGAGCTACAGAGGACCACTCATCCTGTCCTCTCTTCACCAAGACAGGATGAATACTCATGTCACTCTCATCCTGTCCTCGCTTCTCTCTTATCCTCCTTCCCTTGCTTTACTCTCCCTAATCCAACACACTTCCTCCCTGTGATTTCCTCCCCCCTCTCTTCCTCTCTTCCTCTCTTCCCCCCTTTCCCTCTCTTTTTTCTCCTCCTACCCCACACCCCTGCCTCCCTCTCTCTCTCATCCCCTCTTTCCTACTCTCTCTCCATCCACCTGCCTCCCCCTCTCTCTCCCCCAGATACAGTATGTCTCGTCTGGAGAAGGCTGTTGTATCCATGGTGGAGGTGTTCGAGGAGTATGCTACAAAGGATGATAAGAAACAGCAGCTTAGCGGGGCAGAGCTGGCAGAGCTGATGAGGAAAGAGCTGGCCAGCCCAGAGTTCCAAGTAGGACACACACACACACACACACACACACACACACACACACACACACACACACACACACACACACACACACACACACACATGCTCAGTGTTCTCCTGTATGGCTCACAAGGGTTGTGGGTTCGATTCCTGGGGCCACCCATATGAAAAATCGATGCATGCATAAATGTAAGTCGCTTTGGATAAAAGCATCTGCTAAATGGCATATTGTTATATTAACACATAAAGCATATCCACATTTTTTACATATCCATACAACAACATGGTCGTAACGTTTTATTAACATACACATAGCACTGCATAATGATGTCTACAAGATACCTAGAAAACCTACATACCTTTGTGTGTGTGTGTGTGTGTGTGTGTGTGTGTGTGTGTGTGTGTGCGTGCGTGCGTGCGTGTGCATGCGTGTATATGCGTGCGTGCATTTGTGTGTCTCAGGGAAAGGTGGAACCAGCAGTGCTCCAGGAGGCGATGACCAACCTGGATAAGAACCACGATGGGGAGATCAACTTCAGAGAGTTCTCAATGTTCTTGGCTACTCTGGCCAGAGGCTACTACAGAGCCAGAAACAAGGGCAAGGGCAACAAGGGCAAGCCTGACAAGCCTGAATGAGCTCCCGAGTGGCGCAGCGGTCTAAGGCACTGCATCTCAGTGCTTGAGGCTACACTACAGACTCCCTGGAAAAGTATACTTACTGTAACTTGTATGATGCTTTTAAGATGTCTTCTCAACTTTTCCCCCCGTTTAAAAAAATAAATAATTTGACTTGATTACTAATTGTTGTTGTTCTGCTGAGTTTTATTTTTGTGATGGTGTTGGAACTATAGAATCAGAGAGAAAAGCCCAGAATTCCTTGAGATGATGTGATGAGCATCAATTCTCAGACATTACAACTGGTACACCCATTAAAGGGATACTGCAAGATTCTGGCAACTAAGTCGTATTTCTACTTACCCAGAGTCAGATGTGTTTCTACATGCAGTCTCTGCACTAGTTAGAATTGGCACACAAAACTACCTTTAACTTCCTTCATACTGCACACAGAGACATAAAAATGGCATCCACGAGTTCATCAGACTCTGGGTAAGTAGAAAAACACTCAGAATCTTAATTTCTAGAATCTCGCCGTATCCATCCATCCACCCACAACGCTTTCAGTGGGAATGTTACTCTGTTCTACTCATTCTATGGTGAGAACCCGCCTCAGGTGTAGGCTTGGTTTACATATTTTCTTCCCCTCTTTACTCCCCTTCTCATCCTCCCATCCAGCCCATGTTCTGAGGCCTCAGTGTGTCTCCATGTGTTAGTGTCAGAGTTAGATTAGAGGACAGGTATAATGTTGAGATTAAAGGTAGAACCCTGATTACGACCTAATGCTTTATGGCTTGTTGATTCCATTCACCTTATGCTCATACCATGTTTCTCACAGTAGACTGTAGCCCACAGCTGGCACAACAAATATAGGCTGGTTTCACCCTGTCATGAAGCCCCTCGACACTGATCAGTGTGTTGTCTCCTCTTAAGGTTAGGATTAGGGGAAGGTAAACTGACCCTAGATCTGTACCTATTGGACTACTTGGAGCTCTTTCAATGTTCTGATCAGGTAGTTAGATTTGTAGAATAAGGGTGCACAGGTAAAAAATATATATGTTTTTTTAAAGCATTTTTGTTAATTTTTTGATTTATTGAATTGAATATCTCAATTCAATGCCTTTTTCGAAGTGTGCAACCTTGTTCTACTACTTGATCTACAGTATACAATACTTTTTCTGGGTAAGCACCAAAGCTGAGGTAGTTGATGAGGTAGTTGGGTGGGCTAATTTCAGATGGGCTGTGTACAGGTGCAGTGATCGGTAAGGTGCTCTGACAACTGATGCTTAAAGTTATTGAGGGAGATAAGAGTCTCCAGCTTCAGAGATTTTTGCAATTCGTTCCAGTCATTGGCAGCAGAGAACTGGAAGGAATGGCGGCCAAAGGAGGTGTTGGCTTTGGGAATGACCAGTGAGATATACCTGCTGGAGCGCAGACTACGGGTGGGTGCTGCTATGGTGACCAATGAGCTAAGATAAGGCGGGGATTTGCCTAGCAGTGATTTATAGATGGCCTGGAGCCAGTGGGTTTGACGACGAACATGTAGTGAGGACCAGCCAACAAGAGCGTACAGGTCACAGTGGTGGGTAGTGTATGGGGCTTTGGAGACAAAACGGATGGCACTGTGATAGACTACATCCAATTTGCTGAGTAGAGTGTTGGAGGCTATTTTGTAAATGACATCGCCGAAGTCAAGGATCGGTAGGATAGTCAGTTTTACGAGGGCATGTTTGGCAGCATGAGTGAAGGAGGCTTTGTTGCGAAATAGGAAGCCGATTCTAGATTTAACTTTGGATTGGAGATTCTTTATGTGAGTCTGGAAGTTGAGTTTACAGTCTAACCAGACACCTAGGTATTTGTAGTTGTCCACATACTCTAGGTCAGACCCGTCGAGAGTGGTGATTCTAGTCGGGTGGGCGGGTGCCAGCAGCGTTCGATTGAAAAGCATGCATTTAGTTTTACTAGTGTTTAAGAGCAGTTGGAGGCTACTGAAGGATTGTTGTATGGCATTGAAGCTCGTTTGGAGGTTTGTTAACACAGTGTCCAATGAAGGGCCAGATGTATACAAAATGGTGTCGTCTGCGTAGAGGTGGATCTGAGAGTCACCAGCAGCAAGAGCGACATCATTGATATACACGGAGAAAAGTGTCGGCCCAAGAATTGAACCCTGTGGCACCCCCATAGAGACTGCCATAGGTCCAGACAACAGGCCCTCCGATTTGACACACTGAACTCTATCTGAGAAGTAGTTGGTGAACCAGGAGAGGCAGTCATTTGAGAAACCAAGGCTATTTAGTCTGCCAATAAGAATGCGGTGATTGACAGAGTCGAAAGCCTTGGCCAGGTCGATGAAGACGGCTGCACAGTACTGTCTATTATCAATCGCGGTTATAATATCGTTTAGGACCTTGAGCGTGGCTGAAGTGCACCCGTGACCAGCTCGGAAACCGGATTGCATAGCGGAGATGGTACGGTGGTATTCGAAATGGTCGATGATCTGTTTGTTAACTTGGCTTTCGAATACTTTCGAAAGGCAGGGCAGGATGGATATAGGTCTGTAGCAATTTGGATCTAGAGTGTCACCCCCTTTGAAGAGGGGGATGACCGCGGCAGCTTTCCAATCTCTGGGGATCTCAGACGTTATGAAAGAGAGGTTGAACAGACTAGTAATAGGGGTAGCGACAATTTCGGCGGCTAGTTTTAGAAAGAAAGGGTCCAGATTGTCTAGCCCAGCTGATTTGTAGGGGTCCAGATTTTGCAGCGCTTTCAAAACATCAGCTGTCTGAATTTGTGTGAAGGAGAAGCGGGGGGGGGCATGGGCAAGTTGCAGCAGAGGGTGCAGAGTTGGTGGCCGGGTTAGTGGTAGCCAGATGGAAAGCATGGCCAGCTGTAGCAAAATGCTTGTTGAAATTCTCGATTATTGTAGATTTATCGGTGGTGATAGTGTTTCCTAGCCTCAGTGCAGTGGGCAGCTGGGAGGAAGTGCTCTTATTCTCCATGGACTTTACAGTGTCCCAAAACTTTTTGGAGTTAGTGCTACAGGATGCAAATTTCTGTTTGAAAAAGTTGGCCTTTGCTTTCCTGACTGCTTGTGTATATTGGTTCCTAACTTCCCTGAAAAGTTGCATATCGCAACGTTATAACCCTCCAACATATTGTAGCCCTCCATGTTGCCTTCCACAAACCTGAGGTTGGTTTGTTCTCTACAAACTATGTGGAAAGTGGAGCTGTGGAGATTCCAAACTGCTCTAAAAATGGGTAATATGAGTCACGGCTCTGAGGCATGCACATAGTTGTGTGTGTGTGTGTGTGTGTGTGTGTGTGTGTGTGTGTGTTTGAGCATGCCCCTGTTTATATTACCACAGAGAGCACGCCTCTTATTCTTCCAGCCCAACTGTTGCGTAGCCTAACCACCATTTTCCATCGCTCTGCTACAAAACCCTGGGCTGCATTTTCATTCCAAAAAGTTGTCCCCTCCTCTCTGTTCTGTTTCACTCCCCTTTGCAGAGCTGAGAAGGCAGGCTAGGTGTAAGCAGTGGCCCCACCTAGTGTCCGCCATATTGCTTTCAGTCACAGCATACCTATCAGATCTTTGAAGGGGAGTGAGCTACGGCAGAAGGGAGGAAACATTTTTTTAGAATGAAATGCATCCCTGCCTCTTGTCAGCACTATAGAATCTGAGACGTTCAGTACGCTACAACAGCGCTGTTAGAGAGCTGAAGACAGCCTTTTGGTTCTAGTAGTATTACTATTAGTATGCCTGCTTTGGTTGGGATGGAGAAAGGCACTTGTAGTTTGCAAAAGCAAATGCCACCAAGGAACTTGAAACTCTCGACCCGCTCCACTACAGCCCTTTCGATGTTAATGGGGGCCTGTTCGGCCCTCCTTTTCCTGTAGTCCACGATCAGCTCCTTTGTCTTGCTCACATTGAGGGAGAGGTTGTTGTCCTGGCACCACACTGCCAGGTCTCTGACCGCCTCCCTATAGGCTGTCTCATCGTTGTCAGTGATCAGGCCTACCACTGTTGTGTCGTCAGCAAACCTAATGATGGTGTTGGAGTCGTGCTTGGCCACACAGTTGTGGGTGAACATGGAGTACAGGAGGGGACTAAATACGCACCCCTGAGGGGCTCCAGTGTTGAGGATCAGCATGGCAGATGTGTTGTTGCCTACCCTTACCACCTTGGTGCGGCCCGTCAGGAAGTCCAGGATCCAGTTACAGAGGGAGGTGTTTAGTTCCAGGGTCCTTAGCTTAGTGATGAGCTTTGTGGGCATTATGGTGTTGAACGCTGAGCTGTAGTCAATGAACAGCATTCTCACATAGGTGTTCCTTTTGTCCAGGTGTGAAAGGGCAGTGTGGAGCGCAATAGAGATTGCATCATCTGTGGATCTGTTGGGGCGGTATGCAAATTGGAGTAATGGTGTTGATGTGAGCCATGACCAGCCTTTCAAAGGACTTCATGGCTACAGATGTTTTTTTATTTATTTATTTATTTCACCTTTATTTAACCAGGTAAACCAGTTGAGAACAAGTTCTCATTTACAACTGTGACCTGGCCAAGATAAAGCAAAGCAGTGCGATAAAAACAACAACACAGAGATACATATGGGGTAAAACAAAACAAAGTCAAAAATACAACAGAAATACATATATATACAGTGTGTGCAAATGTAGCAAGTTATGGAGGTAAGGCAATAAATAGGCTATAGTGCAAAATAATTACAATTAGTATTAACACTGGAATGATAGATGTGCAAGAGATGATGTGCAAATAGAGATACTGGGGTACAAATGTGCAAAATAAATAACAATATAGGGATGAGGTAGTTGGGCGGGCTAATTTCAGATGGGCTGTGTACAGGTGCAGTGATCGGTAAGGTGCTCTGACAACTGATGCTTAAAGTTAGTGAGGGAGATAAGTGTCTCCAGCTTCAGAGATTTTTGCAATTTGTTCCAGTCATTGGCAGCAGAGAACTGGAAGGAATTGCGGCCAAAGGAAGTGTTGGCTTTGGGGATGACCAGTGAGATATACCTGCTGGAGCGCAGACTACGGGTGGGTGTTGCTATGGTGACCAATGAGCTAAGATAAGGCGGGGATTTGCCTAGCAGTGATTTATAGATGGCCTGGAGCCAGTGGGTTTGGCGACGAATATGTAGTGAGGACCAGCCAACAAGAGCGTACAGGTCACAGTGGTGGGTATTATATGGGGCTTTGGAGACAAAACGGATGGCACTGTGATAGACTACATCCAATTTGCTGAGTAGAGTGTTGGAGGCTATTTTGTAAATGACATCGCCGAAGTCAAGGATCGGTAGGATAGTCAGTTTTACGAGGGCATGTTTGGCAGCATGAGTGAAGGAGGCTTTGTTGCGAAATAGGAAACCGATTCTAGATTTAACTTTGGATTGGAGATTCTTAATGTGAGTCTGGAAGGAGAGTTTACAGTCTAACCAGACACCTAGATATTTGTAGTTGTCCACATACTCTAGGTCAGACCCGTCGAGAGTAGTGATTCTAGTCGGGTGGGCGGGTGCAAGCAGCGTTCGGTTGAAGAGCATGCATTTAGTTTTACTAGTGTTTAAGAGCAGTTGGAGGCTACTGAAGGAGTGTTGTATGGCATTGAAGCTCGTTTGGAGGTTTGTTAACACAGTGTCCAATGAAGGGCCAGATGTATACAAAATGGTGTCGTCTGCGTAGAGGTGGATCTGAGAGTCACCAGCAGCAAGAGCGACGTCATTGATATACACAGAGAAAAGAGTCGGCCCAAGAATTGAACCCTGTGGCACCCCCATAGAGACTGCCATAGGTCCAGACAACAGGCCCTCCGATTTGACACATTGAACTCTATCTGAGAAGTAGTTGGTGAACCAGGCGAGGCAGTCATTTGAGAAACCAAGGCTATTTAGTCTGCCAATAAGAATGCGGTGGTTGACAGAGTCGAAAGCCTTGGCCAGGTCAATGAAAACGGCTGCACAGTACTGTCTATTATGGATCGCGGTTATAATATCGTTTAGGACCTTGAGCGTGGCTGAAGTGCACCCATGACCAGCTCGGAAACCGGATTGCATAGCGGAGAAGGTACGGTGGGATTCGAAATGGTCGGTGATCTGTTTGTTGACTTGGCTTTCAAAAACTTTTGAAAGGCAGGGCAGGATGGATATGGGTCTGTAACAGTTTGGATCTAGAGTGTCACCCCCTTTGAAGAGGGGGATGACCGCGGCAGCTTTCCAATCTCTGGGGATCTCAGACGTTAAGATGTGAGTGCTATGGGTCGGTAGTCATTTAGGCAGGTTACCTTAGTGTTCTTGAGCACAGGGATTATGGTGGTCTGCTTGAAAAATTTGGTATTTCTGACTCAGACAGGGGGGTTTAAAATACATGAAAACCTTTTGCCCCCCTTTCAAAAACCCCCAGGGCTGTTCCTGTCCCCCCCTTTCCCCCAACCGGATGAAATCTGTCACTCTCATCCGGGCCCCCTTTCACCAAAACAGGAGGAATAATATTTTCACTTCATCCCGTCCTCTCCTTTACCAAGCCAGGGTGAATACTCGGGCACTCCCCATCCTGTCCTCTCTTTACCAAAACCCGGAGAAACTCATGTCAATCCATCCCCTCCTTTCTTTTACCAAGCCGGGGTAAACTAAGTCAATCTTCCGTCCTCTCTTAAAAAAGCCAAGGGTGAATAATCATGTCCTCTCATCCTTTTCCCCTTCACAATCACTTCATCCTGTCCTCTCTTCACCAAACCAGGGTGAAATATCGGGCCTCTCATCCTGTCCTCTCTTCACCCCAAGGGCCCGAAAGGGAAAACCCCTGCGCCCATCCGGGCCTCCAAGCAGGATGAATACTCATGTCATCTCATCTGTCCTCTGCTTCACACAAGCGGATGAATACTCATGGCACTCACCTTCATACCATGTACAGAGGACTCATGTCACTCTCATCCGGTCCTCTCTTCACCAAGACAGCATTGAATACTCATGTCACTCATCCATCCTGCCTCCTCTCTTCACCAAGCGATGACTTTACTCTCTTGTCTCTCTCACAACCAGGATGAATACTATGTCACTCTCACATCCTTTCCTCTCTTCACCAAGCCAGGATTGACTACTCATGTCACTCTCATCCTGTCCTCTCCTCACCAAGCCAGGATGAATACTCATGTCGCCCTCATAATAATAATATGCCATTTAGCCAGACGCTTTTTATCCAAGCGACTTACAGTCATGCGTGCATACATTTTTGTGTATGGGTGGTCCCGGGGATCAAAAACCCACTACCTTGGCGTTACAAGCGCCGTGCTCTACCAGCTGAGCTACAGAGGACCACTCATCCTGTCCTCTCTTCACCAAGACAGGATGAATACTCATGTCACTCTCATCCTGTCCTCGCTTCTCTCTTATCCTCCTTCCCTTGCTTTACTCTCCCTAATCCAACACACTTCCTCCCTGTGATTTCCTCCCCCCTCTCTTCCTCTCTTCCTCTCTTCCCCCCTTTCCCTCTCTTTTTTCTCCTCCTACCCCACACCCCTGCCTCCCTCTCTCTCTCATCCCCTCTTTCCTACTCTCTCTCCATCCACCTGCCTCCCCCTCTCTCTCCCCCAGATACAGTATGTCTCGTCTGGAGAAGGCTGTTGTATCCATGGTGGAGGTGTTCGAGGAGTATGCTACAAAGGATGATAAGAAACAGCAGCTTAGCGGGGCAGAGCTGGCAGAGCTGATGAGGAAAGAGCTGGCCAGCCCAGAGTTCCAAGTAGGACACACACACACACACACACACACACACACACACACACACACACACACACACACACACACACACACACACACACACACACACACACACACACACACACACACACACACACACACACACACACACACACACACACACACACACACACACACACACACATGCTCAGTGTTCTCCTGTATGGCTCACAAGGGTTGTGGGTTCGATTCCTGGGGCCACCCATATGAAAAATCGATGCATGCATAAATGTAAGTCGCTTTGGATAAAAGCATCTGCTAAATGGCATATTGTTATATTAACACATAAAGCATATCCACATTTTTTACATATCCATACAACAACATGGTCGTAACGTTTTATTAACATACACATAGCACTGCATAATGATGTCTACAAGATACCTAGAAAACCTACATACCTTTGTGTGTGTGTGTGTGTGTGTGTGTGTGTGCGTGCGTGCGTGCGTGTGCATGCGTGTATATGCGTGCGTGCATTTGTGTGTCTCAGGGAAAGGTGGAACCAGCAGTGCTCCAGGAGGCGATGACCAACCTGGATAAGAACCACGATGGGGAGATCAACTTCAGAAAGTTCTCAATGTTCTTGGCTACTCTGGCCAGAGGCTACTACAGAGCCAGAAACAAGGGCAAGGGCAACAAGGGCAAGCCTGACAAGCCTGAATGAGCTCCCGAGTGGCGCAGCGGTCTAAGGCACTGCATCTCAGTGCTTGAGGCTACACTACAGACTCCCTGGAAAATTATACTTACTGTAACTTGTATGATGCTTTTAAGATGTCTTCTCAACTTTTCCCCCCGTTTAAAAAAATAAATAATTTGACTTGATTACTAATTGTTGTTGTTCTGCTGAGTTTTATTTTTGTGATGGTGTTGGAACTATAGAATCAGAGAGAAAAGCCCAGAATTCCTTGAGATGATGTGATGAGCATCAATTCTCAGACATTACAACTGGTACACCCATTAAAGGGATACTGCAAGATTCTGGCAACTAAGTCGTATTTCTACTTACCCAGAGTCAGATGTGTTTCTACATGCAGTCTCTGCACTAGTTAGAATTGGCACACAAAACTACCTTTAACTTCCTTCATACTGCACACAGAGACATAAAAATGGCATCCACGAGTTCATCAGACTCTGGGTAAGTAGAAAAACACCCAGAATCTTAATTTCTAGAATCTCGCCGTATCCATCCATCCACCCACAACGCTTTCAGTGGGAATGTTACTCTGTTCTACTCATTCTATGGTGAGAACCCGCCTCAGGTGTAGGCTTGGTTTACATATTTTCTTCCCCTCTTTACTCCCCTTCTCATCCTCCCATCCAGCCCATGTTCTGAGGCCTCAGTGTGTCTCCATGTGTTAGTGTCAGAGTTAGATTAGAGGACAGGTATAATGTTGAGATTAAAGGTAGAACCCTGATTACGACCTAGCCCACAGCTGGCACAACAAATATAGGCTGGTTTCACCCTGTCATGAAGCCCCTCGACACTGATCAGTGTGTTGTCTCCTCTTAAGGTTAGGATTAGGGGAAGGTAAACTGACCCTAGATCTGTACCTATTGGACTACTTGGAGCCCTTTCAATGTTCTGATCAGGTAGTTAGATTTGTAGAATAAGGGTGCACAGGTAAAAAATATATATGTTTTTTTAAAGCATTTTTGTTAATTTTTTGATTTATTGAATTGAATATCTCAATTCAATGACTTTTTCGAAGTGTGCAACCTTGTTCTACTACTTGATCTACAGTATACAATACTTTTTCTGGGTAAGCACCAAAGCTCATATACAGCTCATATAACTCAACTCCTGAACAGAATGTTCTGATGAGGACAGGATGATTCTACTGACCTTACTGCTGCATTGTGGCTCACTTTCTGGATTACATTCCCTCAGCCTCTAGGATCAAATGGGAGAACACCTCCCTCAGCCTCTAGGATCAAATGGGAGAACACCTCCCTCAGCCTCTAGGATCAAATGGGAGAACATCTCCCTCAGCCTCTAGGATCAAATGGGAGAACACCTCCCTCAGCCTCTAGGATCAAATGGGAGAACACCTCCCTCAGTCTCTAAGATCAAATGGGAGAACACCTCCCTCAGCCTCTAGGATCAAATGGGAGAACACCTCCCTCAGCCTCTAGGATCAAATGGGAGAACACCTCCCTCAGCCTCTAGGATCAAATGGGAGAACACCTCCCACAGTCTCTAGGATCAAATGGGAGAACACCTCCCTCAGCCTCTAGGATCAAATGGGAGAACACCTCCCTCAGTCTTTAGGATCAAATGGGAGAACACCTCCCTCAGCCTCTAGGATCAAATGGGAGAACACCTCCCTCAGCCTCTAGGATCAAATGGGAGAACACCTCCCTCAGCCTCTAGGATCAAATGGGAGAACACCTCCCTCAGCCTCTAGGATCAAATGGGAGAACACCTTTTTTTAGACAGACAACGAAAAATGAATTATCTTATCAGTGTTATCCTATCTTATCTTATCTTAGTAGTTATGTCAAGCACTACTGTTGGGCTGGTAGATAACCCTGCACCTTTATCTCTCCAGGACCAGGATGTAAGAACACTGCTGCAGGTCAATACCAGTGGACAGGAGCAGTAGAATTACTTGTATCTCAGAGACTTCCTAGTTTAAAGGGAAGGTACTGTCAGTGATCAGTTATTGTAGGCCTATAAATGGCACAAATGAAGAGGGTTCCAAATGGCCAAACACTTTGCATGTGAATATCTCTTTATCTGTGTGTGTGGGCCTGTGTGAGTCCGTGCTTGTGTGTGTGTGTCTGTGTGTGTGTCTGTGTTTGTGTGTGTGTGTGTGTGTGTGTGTGCCTGTGTGCGTGCTTGTGTGTGTGTGACTATGTGATAAACAACCTGCATCAGAATGGATCAGTTTCTCTGAGGCGTGAACCGTGGTTTGTGTTACGCGGAGTGGAACAGGGGAACTCAAGAGCAGACTCAGACGAGGAGACTGGGATGAAGTAACCAAGGTATTTATTGAGACACAGGGGGAAGATGGAGTGCAGGTCAGGGGAAACTGCTGGAAACCAGGTGCGGAGGCTGCGGCTGGAGCGAGGGGGGTTGAGACAGGGTGAACAGGTCCGGAGGGGAATCCAAGGGAGTAGTAGAGTGGGGAATCCAGGACAGAGTAGCAGGATGACGAGACGTGGGACTGGAGACAGGGACCAGAGTCAGAGCGGACAGAATGAGCAGAGACTACGATCTGGCAGTGAGTGTGGAAGTGGCAGGACTGAGTATTTGTAGAGGTATTTGTAGCTCAGCTGGTAGAGCACGGCGCTTGTAACGCCAAGGTAGTGGGTTCAATCCCCGGGACCACCCATGCACAAAAATGTATGCACGCATGACTGTAAGTCGCTTTGGATAAAAGCGTCTGCTAAATGGCATATTATTATTATTATTATTATTATGTAACAGGTTGCAGCTGGTGGGGATCTGCTCTGACTCCAGCACACTTGTCACTGCCCACACAATCACACACACACACACACACAGAGAGAGAGCGAGGGAGAGGGAGAGAGTACTTGGGGAGTGGCGGCAGGTCAAGGAGACACAGGATGAGCAGTACAGGGTGTTGCAGGAGCAGATGTGACAGTTTGTTTCATATAGTAATGTAAATCAATGTGTAGTTATGTTAATGACCATCATTAAAGCACTACCTATTTTTGTACCACTATCTATTCATTGCTAATTGCTTTGACCGCACTGTCAACATGACCATGCCAATAAAGTTTATTAGGTTTGAATCACTAGGTGTGGTTCTTGCTCCTAGTGCGTGGGTGCATGCGTGGGTGTGTGAAATCCAAGAGACCCAAGCCCAGCTCCAAGCCACAGTGTGAAAGTGATACAACCCCCTGTGATCAGTGTCTTTGTTTCAACAAACCAGTCTGTCTTCATGTCAGGGTGTCAGAGCAACAGAACAGAGACAGACCTTTACAGCTACCAGGATTACATTAAACAAACATGCTGCAGCTTGCATTGTCTATACCATAAAATGTGAAGTTAAGACTGGTAAGCCAAGCCAGTAAGGGTTATTCCAAATGGATACACTGCCTTCAGAAATTATTCACACCCCTTGACTTTTTTCACAATTTGTTGCGTTACAGCCTGAATTTAAAATTGATTAAATAGAGATTGTTTTGTCACTCGCCTACACACAATACCCCATAATGTCAAAGTGGAATTATGTCAGAAATGTTTACAAATTAATTAAAAATGAAAAGCTAAAATGTTGTGAGTCAATATACAGTTGAAGTCGGAAGTTTACATACACTTAGGTTGGAGTCATTAAAACTCGTTTTTCAACCACTCCACAAATGTATTGTTAACAAACTATAGTTTTGGCAAGTCGGTTAGGACATCTACTTTGTGCATGACACAAGTAATTTTTCAAACAATTGTTTACAGACAGATTATTTCACTTATATTCACTGTATCACAATTCCAGTGGGTCAGAAGCTTACATACACTAAGTTGACTGTGCCTTTAAACAGCTTGGAACATTTCAGAAAATGATGTCATGGCTTTAGAAGCTTCTGATAGGCTAATTGACATCATTTGAGTCAATTGGAGGTGTACCTGTGGATGTATTTCAAGGCCTACCTTCAAACTCAGTGCCTCTTTGCTTGACATCATGGGAAAATCAAAAGAAATCAGCCAAGACCTCAGAAAAAAATTTGTAAACCTCCACTTGGGAACAACTTCCAAATGACTGAAGGTACCACGTTCATCTGTACAAACAATAGTACGCAAGTATAAACACCATGGGACCACGCAGCCGTCATACCGCTCAGGAAGGAGACGCGTTCTGTCTCCTAGAGATGAATGTACATTGGTGCGAAAAGTGCAAATCAATCCCAGAAGAACAGCAAAGGACCTTGTGAAGATGCTGGAGGAAACAGGTACAAAAGTATCTATATCCACAGTAAAACGAGTCCTATATCGAGATAACCTGAAAGGCTTCTCAGCAAGGAAGAAGCCACTGCCCCAAAACCGCCATAAAAAAGCCAGACTACAGTTTGCAACTGCACATGGGGACAAAGATCGTACTTTTTGGAGAAATGTCCTCTGGTCTGATGAAACAAAAATAGAACTGTTTGGCCACAATGACCGTTGTTATGTTTGGAGGAAAAAGGGGAATGCTTGCAAGCCGAAGAACACCATCCAACCGTGAAGCACAGGGGTTGCAGCATCATGCTGTGGGGGTGCTTTGCTGCAGGAGGGACTGGTGCACTTCACAAAATAGATGGCATCATGAGGAAGGAAAATTATGTGGATATATTGAAGCAACATCTCAAGACGTCAGTCAGGAAGTTAAAGCTTGGTCGCAAATGGGTCTTCCAAATGGACAATGACCCCAAGCATACTTCCAAAGTTGTGGGAAAATGGCTTAAGGACAACAAAGTCAAGGTATTGAAGTTTGCCGATCACAAAGCCCTGACCTCAATCCAGTAGAAAATTTTAGGGCCGAACTGAAAAAGCGTGTGTGAGCAAGGAGGCCTACAAACCTGACTCAGTTACACCAGATCTGTCAGGAGGAATGGGCCAAAATTCACCCAACTTATTGTGGGAAGCTTGTGGAAGGCTACCCGAAACGTTTGACCCAAGTTAAACAATTTAAAGGCAATGCTACCAAATACTAATTGAGTGTATGTAAACTTCTGACCCACTGGGAATGTGATGAAGGAAATAAAAGCTGAAATAAATAATTCTCTCTACTATTATTCTGACATTTCACATTCTTAAAATAAAGTGGTGATCCTAACTGACCTAAGACAGGGAATTTTTACTAGGATTAAATGTCAGGAATTGTGAAA